ATTCAGCTAAATTCCCCCCTATTCACATATTCAAATTTCCCAGTGTACTCTCTGTAAGAGGGAAAACGTTCTGATTTGTTCTGCTGACTTTCTATCTCTATTACAGCTTGGAGAGTAGTCAGTCAACTGGAGGAGGATATCTCGTGATTTGGCTCCCCTCTTCAAGTCTTTGACGCTTTTAAAATGTTTTCTTTGTTGAAAGATGCATGTGCCCAGCACGTCTCTCTCTCTCTCTCTCTCTGCTCTCTCTCTCTCGCGTCGGCGCTCGCGCTCTCCGCTCGCATCGCTATAGCTCGCGATTCTCTCTCTATCTCGCTATCTCGCTCGCTCGCGACTCTGCGATCTCCTAGCTCTCTCTCTCTACGCTCTCTTCTCTCTCTCTCCTTCTTCTTCTCCTTCTCTCTGTATCTGTCCTTGCAGGACCCGGAGAGAAAGGGCTTCATCAACAAGCTGTATGCCATCCAGGATGTGTGCATCAGTGTGCAGAATGCGTTGGATGAAGTAGCCTCCTACGGCGAGAGGATAAAGAAGTGAGTCGTAAGCTTCCTCCTCGGCGCCCGGCCCGCTGCTCCAATACTCCCTCGTCCCCCGCTTCCCCGTGCCAGCGCTGTCGGCATCGCTAGCCCTCACCAACCGCCCGCCTGCCCCCCTGTCACATCTTACTCAGCCCCGCCAAGATGGCTGGAACACATACACCATGCGCGCACGCACCCATTCATGCATGCACACACACACACACATACACGTTTCAGCTACACGCAGGGCAGAGGACAGGCAGTAAAGTTAGTGAAACTCCCAAGTCAGTTTCACTTGGAGGGTAAAGTTGTTTAAGTAAAGCGTCTAGACTAAACGTATGTAGTCTAGACTCTCGAATCGTGGTGTTTTTTGCTCTCTACTTCAGGACTAATACGTATCTCCCCTACTCTCTCCACAGCACCTTTAACTGGACAGTGCCTTTCCTAAGCTGGCTGGCCATTGTTGCACTGTGTGTGGCCACTGTGCTCATCTACTATATCCCCCTACGCTACATCGTCCTGGCCTGGGGTGAGTGCCTAAAATGAAGTACAACTTATAAAGGCTTTGTAGAGCATACAGAAAGGCTTCATAAGCACTACATAAATGCTTCACAATGGTGTATAAACATACATAGTGCATTAGGTCACATTTGGCAATTCACCAAAGGTACTATACTGTTCCATTGTAGTCTTATAAATGTAGTAGTAATATACATTTATAAGACTACAATGGAACAGTTGAGTAACTTTGGTGAATTGCCAAATGTGACATAATGCATTATGTATGTTTATACACTGTTTATAGAGTGTGACATACGCTTATAGATGATTTGTGAAGCATTTATGTAGTGCTTATGAAGCCTTTGTATATGCTCTATAAAGTCTTTATAAGTTGTTCTTTGTTTACAGTGGACCGTATCTTTATGTAATGTAACCATTACGGTGGGCTAGATTGGGGATAGATAATCATTATACCTCCTTTATTAACCCTGTCATGTGGGTTGGTGTCTACTTCCATGGCACAGTTGCTCAGGGAACAAACTCAGTAAACTGAGTATTTCACACAGCACCTCTTGAGGGGTGGCGAGAGGAGCTCTGGTCTCTAATGGTGTCTGCACTCTGCTTTGAAACACATTGAGTTACCTTGAAGGGCTCAAAGAGGGCTTTGATGATCCAGAGAGAGAACAAGAGAAGGAGAGAAAAAGAGAGGGGGAAAGAGAGAGTGAAAGAGCATGTGAGAAAGAGTGTGAGAGAAAGAGAGTGAGAGAAAGTGTGAGAGAAAGATAGTGTGAGTGATACAGAGAGAGAAAGAAAGAAATAGAAGGTAGGCGAGCTCTTGTGACCCATGTGCTGAACAGCTCTCCTCCCTCTCTCCCCCTCTCCCTGCAGGGGTGAATAAATTCACCAAGAAGCTCCGTGACCCATACAACATTGACAACAACGAGCTCCTGGACTTCCTGTCCAGAGTCCCCTCAGATATACAAGTGGTGGGTGTGATTTCATCCCTTCCACCCCCCTCTCCCTCCCCCTCTCTCTCTCTCTCTCTCTCTCTCTCTCTCTCTCTCTCTCTCTCTCTCTCTCTCTCTCTCTCTCTCTCTCTCTCTCTCTCTCCATCCATCACTATGTATTCACTGATGTCCCTTGTAATGGTGATTTTCACATAGTGATTTATATAGACTACCTTATTGCTAACACATATTGGAAAACAATATTATTATTTTTTTCAACCATTATTAAGTCTTTTTCCTGCTCAATACTTCCTGATTTCATTCCATGTCCACAGAATTAATAAGGTTAAGTGAGTGAAGGCCTTTATGGGCTGACTGATTGAATCCATCCAGAAGTGGCTCCTATAGAGATGCTGTTGTGAGCGAGTCATTATAGAGTTAAACCAACAGTTAACCACCCTCACGCGGTTTAGTTCTACATTAACCGTGAGATCAGATTAACGCCGCGGTCGCTGGGTTGGTCGGTGGGGTTTGATAAACTCTTAACTCCAACGCTCTAACGCGCCCAGCCAAGGTGCTGCCGCTGTTTAACTGCAATTAAACGGCAGCTTGTGAAAGTGAGCCTGTTATGCGGCAGCGGTGGCAGCGTCCTCTGTGACCGCTGGAGCAGAGCGACACGGACACACACCCGACCCAATCCCCTGCCACATCAGTGCAGACACGCTCCCCTTTGATCGCCTGTGGGCCGCCACCTCTTTGATCTTTACAGGATCGTAATCCTCCGCTCCCAGCCCGCCCCCAGCATGCCCCGTGCTGTTTTACGGTCTTCCAGGGCCATTACAGTGGCAGGTAGCCCCGACCCAAATGAGGCCAAGGTGGCCCTCTGCTGAGGTGCAGCCACCTTGCACACCTGGAGCCGGAGGGGCCGGCAGGTAGGAGGGCTTTACGAGCCCCTTAATGAGGGGCGGCTGGTAGGGACGGCTCACGGACGCGCGCGCGTACACACAGGCAGACATGCGTACGCACACACGCAAACCTACACACAGGCGAAAGCACGCACACACACAGAGCCCACGGACCCTGGAGCTCTTGCTGCTGCTGTTACTACTGCTGCTGCTGAAGGTTTAATTGGTGACAGGTTTCAGCACCAGGTTGGGACACCCTCATCTCATACCACAACCCCCCCCTCCGAATATAACTTCCTGATCACCTGACGGGGTGCTCCGCTCCAGAAGCGGCTAAAAACAAACCAGAACGTTCTGCCCTCCTCTGCTGTGCTGTGCTCTCGCCACTGCACTGCCTCCGGTGGTGGGTTCACCTCATTGCCTGTGTTTCTGGGTCACAGGGGCCTGCAGGGGCCAGGTCAGGGGAGGCTGGAGGGCCACAGGCCTAAATGGAGCAGCCCCTCCCCAGCGTGGCCAGCCGGCCAGCTCTGCGGATAACAAATGAAGTGCTATTTCAAGGCCCTCTACACCTCTCTTTCCCTGTCGCTCTCTTGCTCACGCTCTGTGTGTGTATGTGTGTGCGTGCATGTGGTCTCCCAGGTGCATATGTGTTTATTGTTGTATAACTTCTAACATTTACTTGGTGTCCTGGTATGTGTATATTCACAGAGACAGAGATTGTGTGTGTGTGTGTGTGTTTTTTTAGAGCAGTGGATCAAGCAGCATATTGCTGTTAGTCAGTTGTAGCATTGTTCATAAGGTGGCCACCTGAAGTGCTGGGGAGTGGGTTAGTGGGGCTGGATGGCTGTTACTCCCTCAGCTCTAGTGAACACTTAACAGTGCACTTTCACTACAGCTACGGGGGCTTTATAAAATGTGCTCTTTAGCTCACTGACACTGTGTCTCTAACAGCACTGTCAACCACCTTTAAAGACTAGCAAAACCTCTACCTACTAGCCAGTTCACATTGTCAGCTGTTCTGTTTTCCTAAGGCTTAATGTTCTTCATAGGCTGTAACCTTAATGGCTGCCTTGTATACTTTCCCTTCTGGATGGCTGGTTGTGATTTTACGCCAGAGTAAGCTACCTTATGGTCTAGGGGAATCCTTCATGTGCCCTAAACGAGGCCAACAGACATAATCAACCTAAGTATTTCCAACCTGCCGTTTGGGACAGCTCTGTGTACCAGCATGCTTTATGATGCCATTAGCTATGTGAGCTGTGGACTGCATAAGTAGGACGATCGCAATTAGCATAGCAAGTGCTCCTTTATAGCCGGTGTAAAGTAGCAGGTTTACTTTAAACCCCTCCACAGAAATAGACACGACTCATCATTGAACTCCAAATGCACGCTGGGGACGTTTTCTACAATCTTGATGTTGAGGATGACTCTGATTGGCTGCTGAGGAGGGGATCCCAGAGGTCAAAGGCAGGGCATAGGGGACTGAAAGGGGCTTAAGGGCTGAGGCTACATGCCAAACACCATCCATCACATCTTCCACTCTGCTCTGCCACAGGCCCCCTCATCGTCCCTGGGACACATTTCAATCTTTCACTTGAAGCAAGCAATTAGTCTCCACTCAGCAGCCTACAAACTTGCCGGGAAAACTTTCTGTTTGTTCTTTGTCTGTTTGCCTGCTTTCACCTTGACATGCTTCTTCTCTGTGAAAACAAAATAGGAGTACTGTTGAATCCCCTGTTTGTGGGTGTCTGTGTACTAGCTGTAGTTTTTTGGCACTGTTTAATACCCCTAATGCTAGGTTATAGGCATCACAAAAGATGAAGCCTGCAGAGGCTTTTCTCCCCCTGTAGAAACAGCATAGTATAGTATCATTAAAACACTCTCTCTGTCTCCTCTCATTGGCTTATTCATATTTGCCTTCCGCTACCTGCCCGCCCAGGCGCCTTCAAACCGGAATCCTCTCGCTTAACGGCAGGGCGACAGTGAGAGAGAGAGAGCCGTGCGGAACACCGGGTCCCGGGACACCGCCCGCCGCCACCGTCTGACACGGCTAAACAAAATGCGCTCTGGTATGCGCGGCGCCCCCTCCGCAGTGCACACTTCAAAGGCTGTTTTGTAGTTTGACTGTCAACATGGGGGAGAAGAGAGGAGGGAGGGTGGCGAGGAGCGAGGGTGGAGCAGCCTTTGAGCAGCGCCAGGTCTTTTACCCACTATCTCCCAATGATCTTCTCTTTATGCTCCACTCTTTTTTTTAAAACCAAATTGCTAGCTCACTGTCGTAACCCTTTTTCACTCCCTCTCTTTCTCTCTTTACTCTTTTTTTTTTTTTTTTCTCACTTGCTCCTCTCCCTCTCCTCTTTTTTGACTTTAACTAGCTCGCCACGTTTTCTTGTGCGGGGTGGCGTAGCTTTATTAGGAAGGGTGAGCGTGAGCACCAGCGAGCAGAGCCGCGAGTGCTGCACGGCAGGCCTGTCACCTGGAGGGTGGAAGGGAACGGGTGACGTGTGAGAGAGCGTCTCTCCCTGGCAGCTCTTTTGAAAGAGCTCTCTTTTGATTGAGCTATTATTGTTTTTCTCTCTTCCTTTTGTTCTATCTGGTTCCCTCCTTTCGATAAGAAAGCTAGTTTCTCCCAAAATGCAAACTTTTGTTTGTTTAGTTTTGATTTTGATTTGAATGGCAACATACAGTCTCAAATTGCTAAATCTTTTTTGGGAATTGTAGGCGTTTTACTTTATAATGGGGCACTAACAGGCAGTGATCTCACAACATCCTGCTTCGGATACTTTGTAGGCTTTTTCCGCACTCCCTGCATGCTTTTGAAAATATGTCCAATGTTGTACAATGATATATGAACAACAAAACTCAGGAGTCAGGAGTGTCACTGTGCTCCAGAAAGTAACCAGAATGTCTCCTGGCAAAGCACTTATTGAAAGTGAACCTGTCCCACCCCCAGATGTGCATTCACTCACTCACACACTCACACACTCAGTCACTCTCTCATTCATGAACTCATTCACTCCCTCACTCATGGACATGGCAAGATCTCAGCCTCACCCGACGATGGCATCCCGCCAGCTCTGCGACGGCCCCCTAAGCTCCCATAATGAAACTCAGACTGACACAGCGCAGCCCTGCATACCAGCAGCAGCAGCACAGATGGGACGTGGCCGTATAAAACCTGTGTCCCCTGGGCTTCTCCTCCAGTGTCTGCTTTAGTTGGCCAGACTAGAAAATTATCCCCACCCACATGAGAACAGTATCTGTCATCACCACACTGGTAGGTGCTGGAAAACACTCTCTTCTCCCCGTCGTCTTCGCTCGCTCGCGACAGGAGAGAGAGAGAGAGGAGAGCGAGAGAGAGAGAATGAGAGAGATAGAGAGGAGAGAGAGAGAGAGAGAGAGAGATGAGATTCGAGGGCGAGATGAGATGAGAGAGAGATCTAGCAGCTCGGACGACTCTCTCGCAGATAGCTATCCCGATACTTCTCTCTCTCTCCTCTCTCTCTCTCTCTCTCTCTCTCTCCTCCCCTCCCTACCTCCACCCCCCCGGATCTGTGCTCATCACCAGAAGCAGGTACAGATGTACAGAACCACTCTTCTAGTTCCTCCACTCTGCAATCCTCCGGACCCCTCTCACACTGTCCAGTCACTCAACCGTATTTGTTCAGCTGTAAATTCATCCTGTGTTTTGTCAGATGTTCTGCTTGTAGGCCGTGGACAGCGGCTCTGAATCAGCCCCGTCTGGTGATGCGAAGAGGAGGAACGTATGGTCGCCAGTCACCGATCCCTTTATGGGTGAAACATTGGTGGTGACCTCTGTGAAGGGGAGTTAAAATAGCGTACAGACAGTGTGTGGCTGATTAGGGGGGTTTAATGCAATGACAGTCTGATGTGTCTGAGTCATGTTGTATTATAGATGAAGGCTAGGTTAGACTATGCCTGGTGAAGTGGCACTGTGAAGCAGTAGGAGACGAATGGGAATGCTTTAGCTAGCGCTCTCAGATAGCCATGATGAGAGACTATTGTGTTCCGGCCGCAGCAAACAGCGACCACACTGGAGATGGGGAATGCTTAGATGACGTCAGTCACTTGTCTGACGAATCTGAGAGGGTGTCAGTCAGTGTGGAGTGTAATGTACCTCAGGCTTTCAGGGATGCCGGCATAGTATGTCTTTGTGTGTTGTGTGACTGTGTCTCTGTGAGTGAGGGGCAAATAGAGTGACAGGCTTTGGTTTTTGAGGCTAAGCTACTATGCATGAACACCCATTACTGAGTTGAAAACGGAACCCCGAAGGTTGTTTTGATAGCGTACCCACCATGTTTAATGGATGATTCCTTTCTCTCTATGAAAGAAAATGTGTGCTGCAGAAACCATTACTAAATCCATATCATATGGCTCACTGTCCTCCTCGACATACAGTACCATACTTAGTATGAAACCAAGCATCAAGCAAAATACTGTAGCCTTCATCTGTTGCCCGATTAAAAGAAACAACAACGGTAATGAATAAAAAATTAATGACCCCCTTATTTATAATGTTGTTGTTTACCCTTTTGTTTTGACTGCCTCTCTCTTTCGTCTCCATGTCTATACTCCATCTCCCCCACTTTTCTATGCTTTCTCTCTCTTCTCTAAGCTCTATATATCTCCTCTTTTCTCTTATCGCTATCTCTTATATCTCTATAGCGCGATCTCGTCTCTCTCTCTCTCTCCTGCTCATCTCTCATCTAGCTCTCTCTCTCGTTCTCGCTCTCCATAAGTGTAGAATATTTACTGGTTAGGTTACCCCTGGGTAAAAGCCAGCAAAAAACCCAGGGGGGAAAAGGGCCGGGGGAAAGGATCGCAGTCCTTGCTAGTTTTTGGGGTTTGTGTGTGGGGAGTGTTTTTGGGGGGGATGCCGGCGTTTTTGGTTGGTTTTGGGGGACCTTTTGGAGTGGGGGGAAAAAAATAAAACTTTTTTTTGGGGGTTTTTTGGGGGGAAGATTGCTAAAAACCCCCTTTACTATAAAACAAACCCCGGGTTTTTTGTTCGTAAACCATTTTTAATATGACCCTTTCAAAAAAATTGTGCTAAAAAAACCATTAAAAAAAACAAGGATGTAAAAACAAAAAAAAAAGGGAAAAAACACAAAAAATTGTGTTTTTGGCCCCGTTTAAAAAAAAAAAGGGGAAAAAAAATTTGGGGGCCCCCGGGGGGGGGGGATTTTGGGGGGGGGGAGGGGGGGGGGGGGGAAAAGAGAAAAAAAAACCCCCCCCTTTTTTTCCCCTTTTTTTTTTTTTTTTCCAAAAATTTTTCCCCTTTTTACTCTCCTTATTTTCTCCATCCTCTGCCAGGTTAAGACATCTCTGGAGCCCCCAGGACGTTCCGACCGGTCCAGACCTGATTTGGTTCGGTGCGCCCACGAGAGTGCCAGATACTCTCATCTCCTAGGCGGAGGACCGTGGGCTCATTAAAGTTCACATATCTTCCAGTGTCCGTTAATTATTGCGGATTTGAGAGGGAAGGGTTACACAATGCCTGGATTAATGGGTCACTTTCAGCCAGCTCGCTGCAGCCAACTCTTGAGAGAGACAGAGGTTAAGAGGGAGAGAAGAGGGAGAGTGCAAGAGAGAGAGAGAGAGAGAGCGAGGGGGAGTGGGGGGGGGGGGGGGGGGGGATTAACATGAAGTCTTCATCATGGCTGGAGAATATAAGCATGGGAGCAAATCTTCAACATGGCCTTTCAATTACCTTTCTTGCTAAAATCATTTTGGGACACACAGGTGTGGTTTGTTCAGTGTGTCTCTCAGAGATAGGTGTGTGTTACGACTGTCTGGTCCTTTGGTCTGATAGAGAACAAAGCATATAAAGAAGGAGAAAATCATTCATTTGTTTAATGTAGGCTGTGTGTAGTTGGCCTCGATTTCACTTGTTCTTAATCAGACTTGTACAGTTCTAAAAGTACTGCGTCGTCAAGCCTAGGCATGGTGAAGACAGTTAGCATTGCATATTGCAGTGTTTCATAGATGGAACAACACATCACACTGCTGCATTGAGGCTGGAGCCCAAACTGCCGTAGCTCGTGAAGGGTTAACTTGTGTTTCCTGTATAGCCTCCATGCACTCGGGGATGGCTCTGTACTCTCTCCAAGCTTTCCCATGAGCCTTTGCCCTGTTCTGTTTGTTTGTGTGATCCCTTCCCCCAGGCCACTGTTCCACACAGCTGGACAGACAGCACTGAGCCTGCCCAGGGTGCTCACTGACTCTATCCCAGCATCCTGTGCTTTCCCCACCTGACCGCCCGCTCTCTCTCTCTCTCTCTCTCTCTCTCTCTCTCTCTCTCTCTCTCTCTGTGTGTGTGTGTGTGCGTGTGTGTTTTAACAGGTGCAGTACCGAGAGCTGAAACTGGATCTCAGTCATAGTCCAAATAAAAGAAAGAAAAACAACCCGGGGTAGCTGGCTTTGTCCGCCCACTGAATCTTCCCTCCCTCAACGGCCCGACACCAAGGAGCAGAGGAAGACTGGTCTGGACCAGCTCAACTCTCTCTCTCTCTCTCCACTTGTTTCTCCTCTTCCTCTTCTCTCTCTTCTACTGACTTTAAATATACATATACAGGCTCCCGAAGTGTAATTATCATTGTAGAAAGAGACAACTAGAGAAAAATCTTAATGACGTGTTTAGTGATGAAAGTGGACCGGACCATTCCAGACCCAGGTGTTTACTGCATTGAACCAGTCTGACAGATGTACAAGTCATGCTCAACTGTGTCATAGTTATGAGTTCATTCGAAAACGTTTCAGCCATTTCTACATCATTCCCCATAAGGAACATATCATTTAACCCTATCATGGTCAGAAAGCCGCTAACCAGGTAGAATGGATGTGTTTACTTTTCAAAACAGAACTCCCAATGACCTCTGGGTATAGGCATGTGGAGCAATAGATAAAGAGCTTATTCATTCATTATTTTACCAATTCTGTAAATTGCTTTGTATTGTATTTACATTTTAGATCATTTAGAATTTTTTTGGGAAGGAGTGTTCTTTCTGCACCAAGCCTCTATCTCAGCCAGTGTTACATATTGATTAGCTATTAGCCCGTTAGCCTACAGCTCCAGTAGGTCATGCTGCTAGCACACTGCACTGAGAAAACTAAAACAGATAGCCCTACAGTACACCGTTCATTGAACTCTTTGAAGCTGTATTTGTACAACATGTACAGTTGCACTATGGCCACATTTCTAATTGCCTCTCACAGATGTCTTACTTAAATCAGTGAGAGGCAATGAGATATTTGAAGAGGTCAAATGCTCATTGTCTTTTCAGTTCGTAGGCCTATATACATATCTGTTCCAGGAGTCCTTGACTATCCAAATGAATGATAACTTCAAAACCTCAATCATCCTCTTTTAAATGGAACTGAAATCTGCTGCAGTCCTGACGATATGCCATTCTTCCAGTCTTCACTACCGTCTATAGCGCAGATCAGTGTTTTCCTACCTAGAAACAGGGTGTTGTTTCCCCCAGCAGAGGCAGGCAAGTGTGGATTGCTGCTGTGCCACTGCGCTAATATAGATGTCACCCTGTGCAGACAGAATCGCCAGGCAGGCCTTAGGCAGCCCGAGCGGTAATCTTATTTGAAAGGATGGCCTCCTCTCCTCTCATCTCCACATGTTGCCTCAGTGGGCACACACACACACACACACACACACTCCAACACTGTGCCACAGGCTGGCCACCCTCTCCATCTGCCCCACCTCCTGCTCAACTTTGATCTCTCTTTCAAGGGATGTGTGTTTGTGTATTTGTGTGTTTGTGTGTATGTGTGTGCATGTGTCCCACTGGGCAAAAACTGGTTGAATTAACGTTGTTTCCACATCAGTTCAACCACAAAATTCAATGTGATGACGTTGAATCAATGTGGAAAACTGATGGTTTTGCAAGAAGTCAATCCACGTAAGGGAATTTAGTCTTTTTTTCACCCAACTTTTAACTTAAATCGAATGACCTGGTGAAATGTTTGGTTGATTTCAGGTTAGTTGACAATTTAACCAAATGGATATCAAAACTAGACGTTGAACTGACGTCTGTGTCCAGTGGGGAGTTTATGCAAGCAAACAAACAAGCTGCATGCTTGGAGGGTGTCCCCATAGACAGTGTGTGTACATGCTGTGTATGTATGCTATATGTGTGTGCACATATAAATGTGCGTGTGCATAATTCCAGAGTTGTCTGTGTCCTCTGGCTCTGGCTCTGGAAAGGGATATGGATGTGATTGTGAACTTGTAGGGCCAGATGCTGTGTTTTGGTGGTGGAGAGGCGTCTGCTAGATGAGCAGCCAGTTAGCCGCTGTGTGACAAGACAAGACGCTTAGTGGCCAGAGACTGCGGGGCTTTGTGCCTGTGTGTGTGCACCCTTTTTCCAAATCCCTCCCATCATCCCTGTCGCTCTCCCTCTCTCATTCGTCAGTGGTTGGGGGTCGTGGCCCTGTCTGAAGGGAAAGTCTCCCGGGTCTCTCCCGGAGCATCTGTTGAAAGATCACAGCATAGGCTACATCTGAGGAGCCTTCCACTCCTCCAGATACCCCTCTCCCTCCCTCCATCCCTTAAACTTCAGCAAGCGTATATCTGCCACTTTGGAAGGCCATTGATTTGGTTTGTTTTGAGAAATGCACTTGAAAGACAATAAATAACATGCACCGTGAAGAGTAGGACCTACACGGGATATATCATCCTCACCAAAAGACAGACTTGTGTCTTTTTGTACTGCCTAAAGGGGACAGTTTGAAAACCTGAATGTGTATGTACTGTATGTGGTATAATTTACAGTAACTGTGGTGGGTATATTGTGTGTGGTCTTGCATCCAAATATTCTAAGTTTTATAACATTGTTTTGGCTATGTTTGCAAGCAAACTGAAGTGATTTATTTGATGCTACAGAAAGAAATGCTAAACAGAATGTATCGGACAGACATAAAGGAAAAAGTCACTTTCATTTGCACCATTTATTTTTACTCAACTACATTTTTTGGAGTGATGTGTATAATATGCTTGTAAATGGTCTAATGTTGGTTGATGATCTTGTATAGGTGTATGCTTGTAATTTCTCTCTGAGGTATTTTCGCCTGCACCGTTGCCTGAGGACAAGGATGGGGATTTGGGGTGGGTGGGCAGTAAGGGAAAGTTATGAAACAATAATGTACATCTAATATGACAAATAAATGCACCTGATGTATGTCGATTCTTTTGAAAAACATGTGAAAGATTAAATATTTTGTATAATCTTTGGAGGTTTTTTGTTAATTGCCAAATGACAAGTCATTGAGCTTCACGAAGACCAATACATAGCCAGCCACCCAGAAGGGTGGTTTGAAGCGTGTGTAAATATGGACAGTTTGTGTGTGTGGTGTGTGTTCTAGTTTTACCACACACAGAGGATGATAGAGGGCCCTTCTACCAACCAGGAGGGCCCTTGAGGCCCCTGTGTGAATCCTCTGACCAGATCATGTATTAGTCTGGGAGTCCCTCCACTGTCTGAACCCCTTCCATCTAAACCCCTGTACATCACACCACACAGCCCCAGAAATGATGACATGCATACCCAGCCAGTGGTACTCCCCTAAATAAGAAGAGGTCAGGAAGGAACACTGGGTTATTAGTCTCTTCCCCTCTCAGGAAACAGTTTGTCTGTGTGGCCAGGCTAGTTTTAAGTTGTACTCCTGAGCAGCCAGAGGGGGGCTAGTCTTACTCCCGGGTTACCCCCCACGTGGCCCGCAGATGAGGCTCTTCCATCTCTGTCCTGTGCCCCAGCTCAGGACACTACGTGACCAAACATGACATGACCCCTCCGTCTCAATAGATGCTTCCACTGCCAAACACAAAGACAGACCTTTGATGAGTGTGTGTGTGTGCATGTTCAACTGACATGCACCTCAGTTTGTTTCCCTTTCAATTGCTCTGCAATCAAATGTTAAGCAGCATGCTTGCTCACAATGGTAGAACTGCTACTGGACGCCCCAGTAGGTGCTACTGCTGTGAGTTGTTGCTATGTGCTTTATTTGAAATACTCCTGACCCGTACTCTTATTAAAGTACTATTGTTATTGCTTATAAACACCAGTCAGTCTCATGCTGCATGACCACATGCACGTGACCCTTCCACCTACTGGCATGCCACACAGTAGGTGTCAAAGGGGGGTGTCTGCCCTAAGATGGTCACCATAGTAAAGTCTACACGACCCATTACCCTCTACTCTACATGTCACCTGGTCTATGTTCAGTTGCCAAATGTTCTTGAACATTGCAGATAGAAATGCCGTGAATAGAGCCGATGTGATTCCTTATTCTACATGTCAGAGAGGTATGTTTGATCTACATAGTCTATTTCTATTTGGACGTTCCAAAACATTCAATTCTGCTGAAAGTGTCCCTGGCCTGAGCGGCCTCATTATAGTGGCAGGACCTGCGCTGTACTGGCGGTTTGCCACATGGAGACCAGTAGGAGCTGCTGGAGACTTTATTTTTGAAGGAAGGACTTTGTTTCAGTTTGAATAAGTTATATGCTTTGACAGAGCTAGGCCATTTGATTTAGTGTGATCATTTAGTTCTAAGTTTGATCATTAAAAAGTATGTATTTTTCCTTTAACCTGCCTCCTGAGTTTGTACTGTGATTTTCTATGCATGATCCTTGTGTTGTCAACCCTTGACTACACCACAGCTTATATGTGACCATTATAGGAATCAAAGCCACATCCCTTGTGTTGCAACTAAATAGCTGTTTATAACTGGTTCTAACATATCCTTTTTCCTGATCTTGTCCACACGGATTGTGCCCACATTTTTAGACAATTAAAATACACATTGATCTGACCTTCATGGCCACCTCTGGAGGTAGTCAGGCACACATCGTGTCTGGATATCTTACAAGTGTAGACGGATCTGGACAGTGGAATAATTTAAATCATTACCCCGCCTTCTAAAATAATTGACAGGTGGCACCATTTACTTATGGCATCAATATGAGTCTTAAAATAAATCAATTTTTGTTTAAGCATAGCTGTCAAATAATATGCACACAGGGAGGGACCAGGAAATATGGTCACAATGCGGACACAGTGGACAGATATGAAACACTGAGCTTTTTATCCAACCAATCACAGTAGTTCAGCCCCTGAGACAGCGATTCCTTTAGAACAAGATTCGTTTTGCATCGCCCATAGACCCGGTTGGGAGAAGTTTGCTTATTTTACACCATTCCATGGTAAAATCTCCACCCACCCAAGTCACCGGGCAATGCAAACTGAATTTGCCCATTGTGGCTGGGATTAAATCCGAGACAGTTTTAACACTAGACAATCAGCTGTCTAGTGCACTGATCTATAACACATTGGAGGGGAAGGTTCAAGGGGAGGGGGCTTGGATATTCTCATCCTTTGCAGTTTATACGTGGGCCTAGGAGAGCTCTATTGTGACAGCTTTATTCCACCAGTCACGACCCACTTTTTACATACCTGTGCTGACTCACTGGGTTTCCAAACCATAGTTTTAAAAAAGGCTGCGGTAACTGGTTAAACCTACCTATCCTTTAGGATAAACCTTAGGTTAAAACTACCTACCTACCTAGCCCTTGATTGCAGCCAGATGAGGAAGTTGTGCAGCCACTGTGAATCATTACATATTGCACCAAATCTCAATTCAAAATCGATTTATTCAAAATCTATAAAAACGTAGTGTTAACATGAGTTTTGTTATAACATAAAATAACATGAACAATATGATAAAATGAGTAACAGTGGTAGTGCAATGTCACATGATAAATGTGAATACAAATGTAAACAAAAATAATTTATGAATGTCACAATTCACTCCAAGGCACATTATAGAGCAGGGACCTAGATCACATTCACAGGAAACGTTGTGCATGTTGGCTAAAGCATAAAATACCTTTAAAAGTCTGTTATAGTGCTCTGCTCTATAACATGCCTTGGATTGAATCGCGGCCGCAGTCAATGTCCATTATCAGTCAGGTGTGTGTGTGTCATAATGTGTGTGAGAGCAGCGCTGCTCTGTGGGCCTTCATCTCCTCCAGCAGGGTGATGAGGAGGCGTGTGTGTGGGCCCTGGCACTCCCTGATGGCGGGGCACAACTGAGTCAGGCATTCCTCCACCCCCAACGCAGTCTCCATGTCCTCCGCCAAGCGCACCAGCCGCGGGTCACCCCAGCCCGCCGTCAGCCTCCGGGCAGAGTGGCTCTCCAGGGCCCTGGCCAGCTTCACCCCCAGGGAGAGAGGCCTGTCCTGGGCCTGGGAGGATGAGAAGAAGGGGGGAGGGAAGGGGACAGCCCTCTCAAGCTGGTAGGTGAGAAGCAGGCAGGTCAGCAGGCAGGAGCAGGTCTCCAGGAAGGGGAGGTCTCTGACCTCTGACCCCAGGGCCTCCAGGGCCACGTCTCCAGCAAGGGCGCTGCGTTGAAGCTCCTCCCTCAGTGTGGCGGTGGAGACCAGGTCCAGCGCTGTCCGGCCACGGCAATCCCTCTGCTGCAGCAGATCAGAGCCTGCAGGACAGATGGACAGAGACAGACGGAGGTACTGCTATTAATACCGTATTTACACCATCTCATGACTGAGTAATAGGGAATCAAATTGAATGAAACTTTATTTAATCTAAATTAAAACAGTGCCACACTCTTAAA